GAGGCCCCACACTACAACAGTAAGAGGCCTCACGACCTTCAGTTAGAGGCCCATGCGACACAGCAAGAGCTCTCACAAACTCAGCAAGAGGCCCCTCACACCTCAGTAAGAGGCCCCTCACAACCTTCAGTAAGAGGCCCCTCAAGACCTCAGTAAGAGGCCCACGACCCACAGTAAGAGGCCCTCACGACCCACAGTAAGAGGCCTCACACCCAGTAAGAGGCCTCAAGACCTTCAGTAAGAGGCCCCTCACACCCCTACAATAAGAGGCCCTCACAACCTTCAGTAAGAGGCCCTCACGATTCACATGTAAAGGCCCCACGACCTCTAGTAAGAGGCCCCTCAAGACCTTCAGTAAGAGGCCCTCACAACCTCAGTAAGAGGCCCTCACAACCTTCAGTAAGAGGCCCTCACAACCTACAGTAAGAGGCCTCACAACCTTCAGTAAGAGGCCCTCACAACCTACAGTAAGAGGCCTCACGACCTTCAGTAAGAGGCCCTCACGACCTTCAGTAAGAGGCTCACACCATCAGTAAGAGGCCCATAGTAAGAGGGCTCTCAAACCTTCAGTAGAGGCCCTCACAACCTCAGTAAGAGAGGCCCCTCACGACTTCAGTAAGAGGCTCTCCACGACCTACAGTAAGAGGCCCCTCACGACCTACAGTAAGAGGCCCCTCACGACCTTCAGTAAGAGGCCTCACGACCTTCAGTAAGAGGCCCTCACAACCTACAGTAAGAGGCCCTCACAACCTTCAGTAAGACCCTCACGACCTTCTCAGTAAGAGGCCTCACGACCTACAGTAAGAGGCCCTCACAACCTCAGTAAGAGGCCCCTCACGACCTTCAGTAAGAGGCTCACGACCACAGTAAGAGGCCCCTCACGACCTTCAGTAAGAGTCCCTCACGACCTACAGTAAGATGTCCCTCACGACCTACAGTTAGAGGCCCTCATGACATTCAGTAAGAGGCCCTCACGACCTACAGTAAGAGGCCCCTCACGACTTCAGTAAAAGGCCCCCACGATCCTTCAGTAAGAGGGCCTCACGACCTACAGTAAGAGGCCTCACACCTTCAGTAAGAGGCCCTCACGACTCCACAGTAAGAGGCCCCTCACACCTACATTAAAAGGCCCCTCACAACTATCAGTAAGAGGCCCTCAAAACCTTCAGTAAGAGGCCCTCACGACCTTACAGTAAGAGGCCCCTCACGACCTACATTAAGAGGCCCCTCACGACCTTCAGTAAGAGTCCCTCAACCTTCAGTAAGAGGCCCCTCACGACCTACAGTAAGAGGCCCCTCAACACCTACATTAAGAGGCCCTCACGACCTTCAGTAAGATTCCCCTACCTCAGTAAGAGGTCCCTCACGACCTACAGTAAGAGGCCCCCACGACCTACAGAAAGAGGCCCCTCACGTCCTTCAGTAAGAGGCCCTCACAACCTCTCAGTAAGAGGCCCCTCACGACCTACAGCAAGAGGCCCTCAGACCTTCAGTAAGAGGCCCTCAACCTCCAATATGAGGCCCCTCACAACCTTCAGTAAGAGGCCCTCACGACCTTACAGTAAGAGGCCCTCAGACCTCTCAGTAAGAGGCCCCTCAACCTCCAATATGAGGCCCCTCAACCACCAATATGAGGCGCCCTCACAACCTTCAGTAAGAGGCCCCTCACGACCTTCAGTAAGAGGCCCCACGACCTTCAGTAAGAGGACTCCCACGACCTTCAGTAAGAGGCCCCTTCACGACCTACAGTAAGAGCCCTCACACCTTCAGTAAGAGGCCCTCACGACCTTCAGTAAGAGGCCCCTCGACCCACAGTAAGAGCCCCTCGACCTACAGAAAGAGGCCCCCACGACCACAGTAAGAGGCCCCTCACGACCTTCAGTAAGAGGCCCTTACGACCTACAGTAAGAGGCCCTCACAACCTTCAGTAGAGGCCCTCAAAACCTTCTCAGTAAGAGGCCCACGACCTTCAGTAAGAGGCCCCCACACTTCAGTAAGAGGCCCCTCACGACCTTAGTAGAGGCCCTCAGACTTCAGTGAGGCCCCAACCTGCAAAAGGCCCTACGACCTACAGTAAGAGCCCCTCACGACCTTCTGTAAGAGGCCCCTCAAGACCTTCAGTAAGAGGCCCCTCAACCTCCAATAAGAGGCCCCTCACACCACCATCAGTAAGAGGCCCCTCGACCTTCAGTAAGAGGCCCTCCGACCTACAGTAGAGCCCTCACGACCTTCAGTAAGAGGCCCTCACGACCCACTCAGTAAGGGCCTTCACGACCTTCAGTAGAGGCCCTCACGCAGCCTAAGTAAGAGGCCCTTCACAACCTTCAGTACGAGGCCCCTCAAACGACCTTCAGTGAGGGCCCCTCGTCTGTAAGGCCTCGACCTACAGTAAGAGGCCCCTCGCGACCTTCTGTAGAGGCCCCTCAAGACCTTCTGTTGGGGCCCCTCACAACCTCCAACATGAGGCCCTCACAACCATCAGTAGAGGCCCTTCACGACCCCCTTCAGTAAGAGGCCTCACGACCTTCAGTGCAGAGTGCCCCCACGACCTTCAGTAAGAGGCCCCTCCGACCTACAGTAGAGGACCCTCCCGACCCCAGTAAGAGGCCTCACGACCTACAGTAAAGGCCTTTCCGACCTTCAGTAGAGGCTCTCGACAACCAGTGAGGCCCCTCACGACCTTCAGTAAGAGGCCCTCACAACCTTCAGTAAAGCCTCGACCTACAGTAAGAGGCCTCGACCTACAGTAACGGGCCTCAAAGACCTTCAGTAGAGCCCCTGACAACCTTCAGTAGAGGCCCTCACGACCTTCAGTAAGAGGCCTCACAACCTTCAGTAAGAGGCCCCTCAGACCTACAGTGAGAGCCCCTCGACCTACAGTGCGGCACCTCAAGACCTTCAGTAGAGGCCCCTCACAACCTTCAGTAGTGGCCCCTCACGACCTTCAGTAAAACGTCCTCGACCTTCAGTAAAGGGACCCCCATGACCTTCAGTAGAGGCCCCCACGACCTACAGTAGAGGCCCCTCCACCTTCAGAAGGCCCCTCGACCTACAGTAAGAGGCCCCTCGACCTTCAGTAAGATTCCCTCAACCTTCAGTAGGAGGTCCCGGAGCACCTCGACCTACGTGAGGCCCCCCGACCTACAGTAAGGCCTCACAACCTTCAGTAGAGGCCTCACGACCTTCAGTAAGACGCCCTCACGACCTTCAGTAAGAGGACACCCATGACCTTCAGTAGAGGCCTCACGACCTTCAGTAAGAGGCCCTCACAACCATCAGTAGAGGCCCTCACAACCTTCAGTAAGAGGCCCCGACCTACAGTAGGAGGCCCCTCGACCTACAGTAACGGGCCCCTCAAGACCTTCAGTAGAGGCTCCTCACAACCTTCAGTAGAGGCCCTCACGACCTTCAGTAGAGGCCTACAACCTTCAGTAGAGGCCCCTCGACCACCAGTAAAGGCCCCTCGACCTACAGTAACGGGCCCCTCAAGACCTTCAGTGAGGCCTCACAACCTTCAGTAAGAGGCCCTCGACCTTCAGTAGAGGCCCTCACAACCTTCAGTAGAGGCCTCGACCTACAGTGAGGCCCCTCGACCTACAGTAACAGGCACCTCAAGACCCTTCAGTAAGAGGCCCCTCACAACCTTCAGTAAGTGGCCCCTCGACCTTCAGTAAAACGCCCTCACGACCTTCAGTAGAGGACCCCCATGACCTTCAATAAGAGCCCCCGACCTACAGTAGAGGCCCCTCACAACCTTCAGTAAAAGGCCCCTCACGACCTACAGTAAGAGGCCCTCACGACCTTCAGTAAGATTCCTCACAACCTTCAGTAGGAGGCGGCACCTCGACCTACATTAAGAGGCACCCATGACCTTCAATTAAGAGCCCTCGACCTTCAGTAAGACTCATCCGACCTTCAGTAGAGGACACCCATGACCTTCAGTAGAGGCCCTCACGACACTTCAGTAAGACCTCACAACCATCAGTAAGCCCTCACAACCTATAGTAGACTCAAAACCTTCAGTATGAGGCCCTCACAACCTTCAGTAAGAGGTCCCTCGACCTACAGTAAGGGTCTCTCACGACCTTCAGTAGAGGCCCTCGACCTACAGTAAGGGCCCTCACGACCTTCAGTAAGAGCCCTCACAACATTCAGTAATTGCCCCTTGACCTTCAGTAAGAGGCCCTCGACCACAGTAGAAGGCCTCACAACCTTCAGTAAGAGGCCCCTCGACCTTCAGAAGGAAGCCCTCGACCTACAGTAGAGGCCCCTCACGTCCTTCAGTAAGATTCCTCACGACCTACAGTAGATGCCCCTCACGACCTACAGTAGGCCCCTCACAACCTTCAGTAAGAGGCCCTCACGACCTACAGTAAGGCCCTCGACCTACATTAGAGGCACCTCACGATCTTCGTGAGTCCTCACAACCTTCAGTAAGGCCCTCACGAACTACATTGAGGCCCCTCACAACCTTCAATGAGGCCCCCACGATCTGAAGAGGCCCCTCGACCTTCAGTAGAGGCCTTTCACAACCTTCAGTAGGGCCCACACCTTCAGTAGAGGCCCCTCACAACCTTCAGTGAGGCCCTCACACCTTCAGTAAGAGGCCCCTCCAACCTTCAGTACAGGGCCCCTCAAGACCTTCAGAAGAGGCCCCTCACGACCTAAAGTAGGCCCCTCTACCTGATGAAGGGCCCCTCGACCTTCTGTGAGGCCTCAAGCCCTCTGTAAGAGGCCCTCACAACCTCCAATAAGGCCCCTCACAACCTTCAGTACGAGGCCCTCAAGACTTTAAGTGAGGCCCCTCACGACCTAAAGTAAAAGGCCCCTCAGCCTACAGTAAGGCCCCTCACGACCTTCTGTGAGGCCCCTCAAGACCCAGCCAGTGAGGCCCCCACGACCTACATTAGAGGCCCCTCACGACCTTCGTAAGAGGCCCTCCAAGACCTTCTGTAAGGCCCCTCACAACCTCAATAAGAGGCCCTCACAACCTTCAGTACAGGGCCCTCAAGACTTTAAGTAAAATGCCCCTCACGACCTAAAGTAAAGGCCCTCACGACCTACAGTGAGGCCCTCGACCTTCTGTAAGCCCCTCAAGACCTTCAGTAGAGGCCCCTCACGACCTAAAGTAAAAGGCCCTCACGACCTTCAGGAAGAGGCCCTCACGCCCTTCAGTGAGAGGCTCACGACCTTCAGAAAAGTACCCCGACCTTCAGTAAGTGGCCTCGACCTACAATGAGGCCTCGACCTACGTGAGGCCTCGACCAACAATGAGGCCTTTCCAACCTTCAGTAGAGGCCCCTCACAACCTTCAGTAAGAGGCCCTCAAGACCTTCAGTGAGAGGCCCCACCACCTACAGTAGAGAGCCCTCGACCTTCAGTGAGGCCCCTCACAACCTCCAATAAGAGGCCCTCACAACCTTCAGTAAGGGGCTACGGCCTTCAGTAAGAGCCCTCACGACCTTCAGTGGGGACCCCCACGACCTTCAGTGAGGCCCCTCACGACCTTCAATGAGGCCCCTCCCAACCTTCAGTGGGCCCCTCGACTTAGTAAGAGGCCTGACCTTCAGTAAGCCCCTCGACCTACAGTAGAGGCCCCTCGACCTACAACAGGCCCTCAAGACCTTCAGTGGCCTCGACACCCTCGACCTTCTAAGAGGACCCAGGCCTACAGTGAGGCCCTCCGACCTTCAATGGGGCCCTACGACCTACAGTAGAGGCCCCTCGACCTACAGTAGAGGCCCGTCGACCTTCAGTAGAGGCTCTCATCCTTCAGTAGAGGCTCCACGACCCTCAGTAAGAGGCCCCACGACTACAGTAGAGGCCCCTCATTCTGAAGAGGCCTCCCTTCAGTAGAAGCCCCTCAAGACCATCAGTGAGAGAGCCCTCAAGACCTACAGTAAAACACGACCTACAGTAAGAAGCCCCTCACGACCTTCTGTAGAGGCTTCTCAAAACTGTCAGTAGAGGCCCCTCGACCTTTAGTAGAGCCTCACTACCTTCAGTAAGGACCCCCGCGACCTTCAGTAAGAGGCCCTCGACCTACAGTAAGAGGACCCTCACATCCTTCAGTAAGAGGCCCTCGACCTACAGTGAGGCCTTTGCCTTCAGTGAGGCCCTTCACAACCTTCAGTAGAGGCCCCTCAAGACCTTCAGTGAGAGTCCCCGACCTAGTAAAGGCACGACCTACAGTAAGGGCCTCGACCTTCAGTAAGGCCCCTCATGACCTTCAATGAGGCCCCTCACAACCTCAATGAGGCTCTCCAACCTTCAGTAAGGCCCCTCACGATCTTCAGTAAGGCCTCACGACCTTCAGTAAGAGGACCCCCATGACCTTCAGTAAGAGGCCCTCACGACCTACAGTAAAAGGCCCTCACAACCTTCAGTAGAGGACCCCGACCTTCAGAAAGGGTCCCTCGACCTACAGTAGAGGCCCTCGACCTACAGTAGAGGCCCCTCGACCTTCAGTAGGCCCTCCCAACCTTGGTAGAAATCCTCAACCTCCAATAAGGGCCCCTCGACCTACAGTAGAACCTCGACACACTGAAGAGGCCCCACACAACCTTCAGTAAGACGCCCCTCGACCTTCAGTAGAGGCCCTCACGACCTTCAGTAAGAGTCACCTCCGACCTTCAGTAAGAGGCCCTCGACCTACAGTAAGAGGACCTCACAACCTTCAGTAGGCCCTCGACCTACAGTAAAGGCCCTCAGACCTTCAGTGAGGGCCCCACGACCTGCAGTAAGAGACCCTCAGCCTTCAGTAGAGGCCATACGACCTACAGTAAGAGTCTCTCCCAACCTTCATTATTGGTCCTAACACACCTACAGTAAGAGCCCTCGACCTACAGTAAGGGCCCCTCGACAGTTAGAGGCCCAGCGACTTACAGTAGAGGCTCTCTGAAGCTTCAGTAGAGGCCCCTCCACCTTCAGTAGAGAGCCCCTCACAACCCAGTACAGGCCCCCTCAAGACCTTTAGTGAGAGGCCCCTCGACCTACAGTAAAAGGCCCTCGACCTACAGTAAGGCCCCTCACGACCTTCTGTAAAGCCCTCAAGACCTTCTGTAAGAGGCCCCTCACAACCTCCAATAATAGGCCCCTCACAACCTTCAGTAAAGGCCCATTACGACCTACAGTAAAGGCCTTTCACGACCTTCAGTAAGAGACCCCCATGACCTTCAGTAAAGAGGCCCTCGACCTTCAGTAAGAGGCCCTCACAACCATCAGTAAGGGCCCCCACAACCTATAGTAAGAGGCTCTCAAAACCTTCAGTATGAGAGCCCTCACAACCTTCAATGAGGTCCTCACGACCTCAGTAAGAGGTCCTCCGACCTTCAGTGAGGCCCTCGACCTACAGTAAGGCCCTCGACCCAGCCCAGAAGGGCCTCCAAATCATTCAGTGAAGAGGCCCCTCACAACCTACAGTAAGATCCCTCCCAACCTTCAGTAAGTGGCCCCTCGACCTTCAGTAAGAGGCCCTCACGACCTACAGTAAGGCCTCACAACCTTCAGTAAGAGGCCCCTCGACACTCAGGAAGAGGCCCTCGACCTACAGTGAGGCCCCTCACGTCCTTCAGTAAGATTCCTTACGACCTACAGTAGATGCCCCCTCGACCTACAGTAGAGGCCACTCATGACCTTCAGTAAGAGCTCTCGACCTACAGTATGTGGCCCCTCGACCTACAGTAAAGGCCCCCGACATTCAGTAGAGGCCCCTCGACCTGATGAATGCCTCTCACAATCTTCAGTAAAGGTCCTCGACCTACAGTAAGAGGTCCATCGACCTACAGTAAGATGACCCTCGACCTACAGTAAGAGCCCCTCACACCTACATTAACAGGCCCTAATAACCATCAGTAGAGGCCCCTCACAACCTTCAGTAGAGGCCCCCTCGACATACAATGAGGCCTCTCGACCTACATTAACAGGCCCTCACGACCTTCAGTAGAGGCCCTCACAACCTTCAGTAGAGGCCCTCACGACCTTCAGCAAAGACGCCCTCACGACCTTCAGTAGAGGAGACCCTCACTGACCTTCAGTAGAAGGCCCCACGACCTACAGTAGAGGCCCCTCACAACCTTCAGTAGAGGCCCCCCATGACCTTCAGTAGAGGCCCCCCACGACCTACAGTAGAGGCCCCTCACAACCTTCAGTGAGACTCGCAAGCCTTCAGTAAGAGGCCCCACGACCTACAGTAAGAGGCCCTCACAACCTTCAGTAAGGCCTCGACCTACAGTAGAGGCCCCTCAAGACCTACATTAAGATGCCTCGACCTTCAGTAAGATTCCCTCTCAATCTTCAGTAAGACCTCGACCTACAGTAGAGGCCCCTCAAGACCTACATTAGATGCCCCTCGACCTTCAGTCAGATTCCCTCACAATCTTCAGTAGAGGTCCCCTCGACCTACAGTAAGGCACCTCGACCTACAGAAAGGAGCCCCTCACGTCCTTCAGTAGAGGCCTCACAACCTTCAGTAACAGGCCCCTCACGACCTATAGCAAGAGGCCCCTCAAGACCCATCAAATAAGAGGCCCTCGCAACATCCAATATGAGGCCCTCCACAACCTTCAGTAAGAGGCCCACGACCTTCAGTAGAGGCCCCTCAAGACCTTCAGTAAGCCCTCGCAACCTCCAATATGAGGGCCCCTCGCAACCTCAATATGAGGCCCTCACAACCTTCAGTAAGGGCCCCTCGACCTTCAGTAAGAGGCCCTCACGACATTCAGTAAGAGGACCCCACGACCTTCAGTAAGAGGCCCTTCACGACCTACAGTAAGAGTCTCTCACAACCTTCAGTAATAGGTCCTCGACCTACAGTAAGCCTCACGACCTACAGAGCCTCGACCTACAAAAAGAGGCCCCCCGACCTACAGTGAGGCCCCTCACAACCTTCAGTAAGGCCCTTGCGATCTACAGTAAGAGGCCCTCACGAAACTTCAGTAAGGGCCCCTCACGACCTTCAGTGAGGGCCTTCACAACCTTCAGTGAGGCCCTCACACCTTCAGTAGAGGCCTTCACAACTTCAGTACAGAGCCCCTCAAGACCTTCAGTGAGAGGCCCTCACGTCCTGATAAAGGCCCCTCGACCTACAGTAGAGCCCCTCGCGACCTTCTGTAAGAGGCCCTCAAGACCTTCTGTAAGAGGCCCTCACAACCTCCAACATGAGGCCCCTCACAACCATCAGTAAGGGCCCTTCGACCTTCAGTAAGAGGCCCTCGACCTTCAGTAAGTACCCCGACCTTCAGTAAGAGGCCCTCGACCTACAGTAAGAGGACCCTCACAACTAGTAGAGGCCCTCGACCTACAGTAAAGGCCTTTCACAACCTTGAGTAAGAGGCCCCTCACAACCTTCAGTAAGAGGCCCTCAAGACCTTCAGTGAAGGCCCCACGACTACAGTGAGGCTCCTCAAGACCTTCAGTAGAGGCCCCTCACGACCTACAGTAGAGGCCCTCACAACCTCCAATAAAAGGCCCCACGGCCTTCAGTAAAGCCCTCAGGACCTTCAGTAGAGACCCCGACCTTCTGTAGAGGCCCCTCACGACCTTTAGTAGAGGCTCCTCACAACCTTCAGTAAGAGGCCCCTCACGACCTTCAGTAGAGGCCCTCACAACCTTCAGTAGAGGCCCCTCGACCTACACTAAGAGGCCCCTCGACCTACAGTAACGGGACCCTCAAGACCCAGTATGAGAGCCCCTCACAACCTTCAGTAAGGCCCTCACGACCTTCAGTAAGAAGCCCTCACAACCTTCAGTAGAGGCCCTCGACCTACAGTAAGAGGCCCCTCGACCTACAGTAACAGGGCCCTCAAGACCTTCAGTAAGAGGCCCCTCTCACAACCTTCAGTAAGTGGCCCCTCACGACCTTCAGTGAACCCTCACGACCTTCAGTAAGAGGACCCCCATGACCTTCAGTAGAGGCCCCCACGACCTAAAGTAGAGGCCCCTCACAACCTTCAGTAAGAGGCCCCTCGACCTACAGTGAGGCCCCTTGACTTCAGTAAGAGTCCCTCACAACCTTCAGTAGAAGGTCCCGGAGCACCTCGACCTAAATTAAGGCCCCCGACCCTACAGTAGGGCCCCTCACAACCTTCAGTAGAGGCCCCTCACGACCTTCAGTAAGACGCCCTCACGACCTTCAGTAAGAGGACCCCATGACCTTCAGTAGAGGCCCTCACGACCTTCAGTAAGAGGCCCTCACAACCATCAGTGAGGCCCTCCAACCTATAATAAAGGCTCTCAAAACCTTCAGTATGAGGCCCTCACAACCTTCAGTAGAGGTCCATCGACCTACAGTAAGGGTCCTCGACCTTCAGTAAGGCCCCTCGACCTACAGTGAGGCCCTCGACCTTCAGTAAGAGGCCCTCAAAACATTCAGTAAAAGGCCCTCACAACCTACAGTAAGAGGCCCTCACAACCTTCAGTAATTGGCCCTTACGACCTTCAGTAGAGGCCCTCACGACCTACAGTAAGAGGCCCTCACAACCTTCAGTAAGGAGCCCCTCACGACCTTCAGGAAGAGGCCCTTACAACCTACAGTAGAGGCCTCTCACATCCTTCAGTAGATTCCCCTCGACCTACAGTAAGATGCCCCTCGACCTACAGTAGGGACCACTCCTGACCCAGTAGGCTCTCGACCTACAGTAAGAGGCCCCTCACGACCTACAGTAAAGGCTGACCTTCAGTAGAGGCCCTCCCGGCCTACAGTAGATGCCCCTCACAATCTTCAGTAGAGGTCCTCGACCTACAGTAAGATGGCCTCGACCTACAGTAAGAGCCCCTCACACCTACATTAACAGGCGCCTAATAACCATCAGTAAAAGGCCTCACAACCTTCAGTAAAGGCCCTCACGACCTACAGTAGAGGCCCTCACGACCTACATTAAGGCCCCTCACGACCACATTAGAGGCCCCTCACAACCTTCAGTGAGGCCCCCGACCAGTAAGAGGCCCTCACGACCTTCAGTAAGAGGCCTTTCACAATCTTCAGTAAGGCCCCTCACACCTTCAGTAAGAGGCCCCTCACAACCTTCAGTAAGAGGCCCTCACACCTTCAGTGAGGCCCTCACAACCTTCAGTACAGGGCCCCTCAAGACCTTCAGTAGATGCCCCTCACGACCTAAAGTAAAAGGCCCTCACGACCTACAGTGAGGCCCTCACGACCTTCTGAGAGGCCCTCAAGATCTTCTGTTAGAGGCCCTCACAACCTCCAATAAGAGGCCCTCACAACCTTAGTTAAGAGCCCCTCCAAGACCTTAAGTAAGAGGCCCTCGACCTAAGTAAAGGCCCTCACGACCTACAGTTAGAGGCCCCTCACGACCTTCTGTAGAGGCCCCTCAGACCTTCAGTGAAGGCCCCGACCACAGTGAGAGGCCCCTCACGACCTTCAGTAAGAGCCTTTCACAACCCTTCAGTAAGAGGCCCCTCACACCTTCAGTAAGAGGCCCCTCACAACCTTCAGTAAGAGGCCCCTCACACCTTCATTAAGAGGCCCTCACAACCTTCAGTACGAGGCCCCTCAAGACCTTCAGTAAGAGGCCCCTCACGACCTAAAGTAAAAGGCCCCTCACGACCTTCAGGAAGAGGCCCCTCACGCCCTTCAGTAAGACGCCCTCGACCCCAGCAGTAAGAGGCCGCTCTCAACCTTCAGTAGAGGCCCCTCGCCAACAGTAAGGCTCCTCACAACCTTCAGTAAGAGGCCCCTCAAGACCTTCAGTGAGAGGCCCCACACCACCTACAGTAAGAGACCCTCACGACCTTCAGTAAGAGGCCCCTCAAGACCTTCAGTAAGAGGCCCTCACAACCTTCAATAAGAGCCCCTCAACCTCCAATAGAGGTCCTCACAACCTTCTGTAGAGGCCCCTCACGGCCTTCAGTAAGAGCCCTCACGACCTTCAGTAAGGGGACCCCCACGACCTTCAGTAGAGGCCCCTCGACCTTCAGTAAGAGGCCGCTCACAACCTTCAGTAGAGGCCCCTCACGACCTTCAGTAAGGCCTCACAACCTTCAGTAAGAGGCCCCTCGACCTACAGTAAGGCCCTCACGACCTACAGTAACAGGCCCCTCAAGACCTTCAGTAAGGCCTCACAACCATCAGTAACAGGCCTCACGACCGTCAGTACGACACTCTCACGACCTTCAGTAAGGGACCCATGACCTACAGTAGAGGCCCCTCACAACCTTCAGTAGAGGCCCCTCGACCTGATAAGAGGCCCTCGACCTACAGTAGAGGCCCCTCGACCTTCAGTAAGAGGCTCTCATCCTTCAGTAGAGGCCCCACACGACCTTCAGTAAGAGGCCCTTACAGACCTACAGTAGAGGCCCCTCGACCTACAGTGAGGCCCTCCCAACCTTCAGTAAGCC